CCGTTGCCTAATTGCATTACGGCTTCGCTGGGAAAGATTAGATCTTCTAGGACGCGGCATTGTTATTAAAATGTGCACTCGCATAAAACCACCAAACTGATTTTTTATTCCCTTAATTCCGTTCCTTTCCGATGATTTTATGTAGAATACTGTATAATAAATCTTAGGTATTATTTTCGGGAATTTGACTATTTGACAGGATTGGACAACAAATGTTTGACATGGAGAAAGAAAATCAATGAAAACTCGATATTTGTAATAAAAAAATCAAAATCTATTGAAATGCATCTATTCATTGCGCATATCGAGTTTTTAAGATGTATTCTGCTATTCGGGACGGAAACAAATCCAACAAATCAAAAACCATGGCAATCGGTCCAGCCGTTCTCGAGCTATAAGTGTTGTAACAGACACGACTTTCTTTTATATATATATAAAATAATATATATATATAATAAACAATCAAGCTTTCTCTTAAAGCCTTGCCTTGGGAGCAGTTGGTTCTATGGGATTCATATAGAATATTATATACCGATTCGGGGCAACGGAAACTATATCTCACGGTGAATACATATACTTTTTGAGTATAATAAATAAAGGGTCCATGCCTCGGGTCTCCGCCATATTAAGTTTGAATCGTCAATTTAAATCCTGCCCCAAAACAACATTCCATGTTATTTATTGATATTTATTTTGTTTTCCCTCATTTTGTTTTCCAACATTCCATGTTATTTATTGATATTTATTTTGTTTTCCCTCTCTTCTTGCAGGTTACCAACAGCCCACATATCCCTGGCTGAAGCCAGAATACGGGGCAAGGACGCGGCAATGCATCGCCAAGAACGATAGAAAAGACATAGCGAAGACAGACCAAGGTTTTATTTAGAACATATTTTGTTATACTTCCAGCAGCAAAGAGAAGGAACCATCCAAAGTGCCAGACAGTAATCTTTCAAACTAACAGAATTGTTCTCCATAGAAACGTACAGAGGAACGGAAACAATTTGTGCGTGAAATTTTCGTGCTCTACGGTACAAAAAATACAGGAAAAACGCAGTCTTGGCCCTAGTCCCGTGTTTAAGAGTTGAAATGAATAAATCTAACACCAATGAATCAGTTTGAGTTGACGCACACGTGCCTCGAAGCTAAGATATCTGGTACTCAAGTATCGAATAGGCTATTGGGACTAATCAAGAATATACATACTCTTTGGGGTCGGAAACGCTCCCTTCTGGCGAATCTAATAATTCCCTATACCAGGGGTCGGAACTTGCAGCTCTTTCGACGTCATATTATGGCATTAGTGGCTCCTTAAAAAATGGGGAAAAATATGTGAATTGTCAGTCGTTGGGCCATCCGTTTTATAAGGCCGGCGAGCCCTGCCCTATACTCATTGAGTCCCGGGCATAAATACAGGTATATGTACATATGTACATACATATATGTACGTACACAAGATGAAACAGAATTTGAGGGGGCAGTCCGGAAACAAACGTAATTCAATTTGATCCCCATGAAGTCTTTACAAAAAATCAGATTGATTTAGCTCGTCTTGTCTCTGAGTCGGATGTATCAATGTATTTAAATATACCCCTGTACTCTTAGGGTACCCTGTCTATGTAAAAAAGGCACACTTCCACGTGAATATGTTCGATATGGCGCATACTTGGGACGCAATCAAGTAAATACTATTCCCTTTACCACTCTACTTTGCCACAGCGAATAACCCTTCGAAATGTGATTCGATTTCACGCTGTTGCTAGTGTTGCGATTGGGGGAGTTGTGAATATTTCTCGGACCAGTGCCTCCAATTTGCGCGTAAATTTGTAAATTTAATATGCATAATTTGTGGCCTTAGAATACGAAAATGTGGAAGGACGGAATGCACTTACCAAAACAAACACAAAAGAGAATTGGCCAACGCTTGAGAATATATGAAATCAAGACGTTGCAAGTCCTTTAAGATTGTTGAAGCTGTTGTGCTGTAGTCCAATTCGTTTAAGTTTTCAACTCTTTATTCCGCTCCTTTGCTCTTCTTTTCTTGTAAGTTTTCTATTTGTGTGGATCCTTATTGATTGATGCAGTATCTGAAATAAACAAAAGCAAATCATTATAATCATATTTAAGAAGTATTCTGAAAGAGGTTAAGGTCTAAGGTCTCAGAAGAATATAATCTATTGGGATTTAAGATCTATCATTGTCCTAATGTACCACTTTCACAGATATCCATCTACACATCCAATCATGAATCGATCCAGAGATCCATCTATTTACTTATATATCCATCCATAGATTTTTTTAGTTCTTTGGGAGAGTTTGCAGGATATTAAAAATGCTCAAGATTGGATTGGAAACTCGCAAAAAACATGACATTATATGGAGAGTATATGCCTTCTGCCTACTTGCTATTTTTATACATTCGTGCTTGTTTTACCCGCCGATCAAAAGATTACAGTGGTATCTAAATCAATGCGTTGAACGAGATCACCTGCCGCGTTGGCTTTACCTCACATGGATACTGGTTTGAAGTCAAATCTGCTTTGGACATGACTTCCACACTGGATTGGAGAGACACTGGGAACAAACAGTTCACGGGTAAACTAAATTACAAATCGGAAGAAATCCTATTCGTTGTCTAAAGATACATATATACCTATAGTTTGAGGTTTACCCCCACTTGAAGTCTATGCTCTGTAGGGAGCCATTATCTATATAACAATTGTATCTCGATGGTGCACATCAGGGTTTAAAGGCTAATTCAAATAATGGGTCCCACCTTATGGAGCTGCGATGTGGTGAAAAATTCGATTGAACGCACAGCAAACTAGGGATAAAGATATATGGAGAATGATCATCAGTCTGGCCTTTAATTATGAGATGCAATACATACCAATAGAATCGTGTCTCCGTTCTCCTGTTCTCCGTTCAATTTGGATGACAATATCCTGGTCCTGGCGAAATCGTGCTGATCCGAGCGTTAATTGTTAATGGCGGTGACGAGGTGGGTTTGGACGGGTGTAATTTTATTGTTGCTTTAGCGGCTGGACGCGATTTCGATGGCGAATGTGAGAAGGATGCTTTCATTTTGATTTTTATGCTCAACGAGGGTAATTGTTAACTAACAATTAATGGCAAATTGCACAGTTGGAAGGACAAGAGTTCAACAGATAAACGTAAACAACAAAATTATAACAAGACGCAGAGGCACGGAGACCGAATTAAATGCTAAACAAGGCAAACGTCGGCTGTGGCGTCGCCGGCGTATTTGGGTAGATAGCACCAGTACCAACACCAACTTAACTCAACTCCAGTTCCAATTCCTTCGAAACAGATCTGCTCCCCTCCTGCACTGCACTGCTGGCACTAGGTGGCGATTGTGATTATCTTTGTGTACATCATTTCTGCCTGCCACTTATTTGCCAAGCCAACAGAAGACACCGTCTATGCGTGTTTTTGGACGAATTGTACGCGATTTTATATGGCAGGAGTCATCCTCGTCCTCTGGCAACTCTGGTCTGGGTCTGTTGGTCCCTCGCCAGAGAGAAAATGCAAGAAAATCGCCTTTTCTAAAGCATTTTCGGGTGTGGGGCTGGCTACTGCACACTTTAATAATGTAATTATATCGCTTTACTAGCTGTTCTCGAGCATTAAAACACTTTTCAATGTGTGCCTTGCTGCTCTGCTGCTTCCTCTTTATATTTTGTGTATTTTATGTTGCTGTTGCTGGGACTGGACTGGAACCTGCTGCTGCTGCCGTTCAGTTTTCTTGGACGTTATGTTGCGTGTTCGTTGTGTTGCTCGATTTATCTACCAGATGTGGTAGATTTATGATTCTGCGTTTTCCGGTTTAAGCACAGCACTTTATATTTTGTTATAAATAATAGAGGAATAATAGAGGTGTCAAACCAAAGAGGGCACTATCGATCATATCGATATTTTGCTGCTAGCCTCTACTATCGATGGTTTTGAGACTATCATGATAGTATCGAGCTACAGTCGTTGCGCTTTTGATATGTTTGGATTGGCTGAAATAAAATACGAAGACAAATTTGTAAGCAAATCGACAGGTAGCATCTAATTTTTACAATGGACAAGTTCCTAAAAGGTTTCAATTGTTTTTTAATATGAATTTGAGCCCGATACTATTACGATAGTATCGATTGTTTTTTTCAAAACATTCAACGTTGATATTCCTCGATTTTAATATTCCGTTTAATATTGCTAGTTGGCCTCTCAGCCCTAAACTATAAATTTTATCCGATAGATACATAAATTTTCTACGAGATTGGCAAGTTTTCAGAAGTCTTTTTTATTGCATAGTTTACACAAAGTTCAAACAAAAACGGCCAAGGCATAAAACGTAAATGTTGACTAAATGTGACGTCAGTGTTGCTGGTCAACCAAGTTTCTTCTATGCGTATATACGCTTGTATGCCTTATTTCTTTTAATTGATGTTAAATGTTTTGTTCCAAGCTCCATTGAAACATTATTTATGATTTTATCCTAGATTGATATGTTTTTTACCTATTAATGCACATGTTTGTGTTTTATACATATGTATATACATTTATCCCGGTTCTGATACATATCACTGGAACCCGTGAGCTGCAAAATTTCGTTAATATCTTTTAAACAGAGACTGATTTCCCCATGTTGCTGAAATTTTTCCCATACAAATCAAATGTTCCTAACGGGAACGACGCAACAATGAATCTTCATTTCTACGCGTTCCCGTAAGATGCATGTGGCTCACACCACGAAAATGAGGGAAAACACTCTCTTCACCTCGGAAAAGAGAGCAAATTTTGAAAAACCACCACGATTTGCTCACGAACGAATAAAGTGACCAAGTCGAAAAATACCAGTATATACCATGATAAAATAAAATACCTTTTCTAATTTTCGTAATATACACTGTAACGAACAGCCTACTGTTATGTTAAACTAGTATGTTACAACAGCTGTTTCAGTTATTTTCAGCTTGGAGTTGTGCACACACTGTTCTGACATTTAATTTATAAACAAAATACAACACAAAAATACAAATAATTAGTTTTAAGCAGAAACTAAAACTGAAAAAAAGTTATTTGTTATTAATTTAAGACCACACCCAGTGCAATCCGTGTTTTAAACTTTTTCAGTGCCAAAAGTGCTGCCGTTCTACATTCTCGGACGGTGCACAAAATTGATTAGAAAAAAAGAAAGTACTCAGGCCCAGCCAGGCGAAAATCTACCGCAGTCACGGCCTTGGGTGGACGGGAACGCAAGCTAGTTGACGCCAACGCACTGCCCCGCCCGCTTCGCACGCCCTCGCCCAGTCCTGAATCGAAGTTAGTAGGTCAGTGTCGCGCCACGGCTGCAGAAGGCTCAAGGACAATCCAGGAAGCAAGCCTGTACGCACACAACGAGGACGGCCAGAGCCAGGACAGCCACAAACATACCATCGGCTATGAGACGCGTCCATGGCTAACGAACGCAAGCAGTCAAGTCCCAAAGTGGAGTTGATCAAACTGAGCCACGAGCTCATCGAAGAGTGCAAACGCAGCCTCGAGTACTCCATATTGTCCCGTCACCTGCGGCACGAGCTAGAAAAGTATGTATTGCGAGTGGAGTCGTCGGCTGCTCACGCACGCCTTAGGGCTTTTGGCTAGGCGATAGGGGGCTAAGAAATTCTCGGTAATCAATGTTTTGATTGTTGTTTGGCGTCGTTGAACCTGTCGCCTTATCAACGAGTGGTGCCCATAGACAAGCGATTTGGGGCCGCCAAACCATTTATGGCTGCACGTGCTGATCAGACTTCCTGTCCTCACCATTCTCATTCCCATTTTCATTCTCATTCGCAGGCTTTCACGCGACTCCCGTCGCGAGGTGGTGAGGAGACAGCGCAATGGATGCGCACCCCTGTTCATTGCCAGCAGGCGAGGTGCTGTGGTCATTGCCGAATATCTGATAAGCAAGTGTGAGGCGGACATCGAGCAGCGGGGCCATTACGAGGTGCTCGAGGACAACAGCTTCCACTATGTCTCTCCGTTGTGGGCGGCCGTCGTCTCCAACAGACTGTCGATGGTCAAGTATCTGGTGGACATAGGCTCCGATATAAACGCCCCCTCCGACTCGGGCTCGACACCTGTACGGAGTGCATGCTACATGACGCATACAGAAATTGGTGAGGATATATTAATGGTTCATCTTCGCAGCTGCTTGGCTCCCACAATTCTATTTATGGGCCCTCCTTTCCACGGTTGAAGACAGCCATCAACCATCATATTAACTCACTTAAAACCCTTTTAATTATTGTTTACAGTCAAGTTTCTGGTGGAGAATGGGGCCGACATCAAGAGGCCAAATGTGAATGGCGGCACCTGTCTCATCAATTCCGTGCAATCTGTCCAGCTCTGTTTGTATTTGGTGCGCAAGGGTGCCGACATCAATGCGCGGGACATACAGGACAAGACGGCGTTACACTATGCCATTCAGGAGCATCGACTGGATACCACCAAAATGTTGATAACGCAGGGGGCCGATCCCTTTGCGACGAGTCGCTATGGGGACGATGCCTTGCGCACCGCCTGTCTCAAGGGAGCGCATCAGATATTCGACTATCTGAAAAAGGAATTGAACTATCCATCTTTGCGACTGGCGGAGGCGCACGAACTGATGGGCTCGACCTTTCTCGACGAGCACAACGAGTCGCGTGTATGCATACTGCACTGGCGCATGGCCCACCATATACGGGCCGCCTGCACGCCGTATATTGAGAAGAATCCCGCCGTCCCGTTGCGCAGTGCGTACAACAATGCGGTGGAGTTTACCACACTGGAGGAGCTGGACAACATTGCCACCGACATGGATGCGATGCGCATTCAGAGTCTGTTGATCTGCGAGCGTATCCTGGGCCTGACCCACAAGGATATGCTGTTCCGATTGACCTTCAGGGGAGCCTCGTATGCGGACTCCTTGCAGTTCCAGCGCTGCGTTGATCTCTGGCGCTTTCTGCTCGAGGTGCGCGTGTCCAACTGGTCAATTTTGCATTTCGAGACCTGCTTTGCCGCACAGGCGCTGGTCCGCCTTCTGCTTGACCTGCATGTGCAAAACGTCAGCAACATACGCACTGAAGCACGGGCACGTTTCGTTCAGGACGACAAGGTTCTACCCAGGTTCGAGGATGTGCTGGGCGTCTTTCGCACGCTAGCGGAGAGCGCTGTCCTTGTGAAGGCCTTGCTGAAGCAGCGACCAGTGTTTCGCAGGCAGCAGGAGAACTACGATCGAGTGATGCGCTGTCTGGCCCATCTCATCTACTTGCTGATCAATACCGTCCCAACAGAGCCACAGAACAAGCTGATCTATCAGGCCATTCACGAAACGGTTGTCGTTGGCAATTTGAGTAGTGCCAGCACCGCGGACACCCTGCTCCACCTGTGCGCCTCGCGTTTGAATGTGATCAAAAGCGGCTATATAACCGACGATAACTTTGCCGATGTGCGTGTAACATGAATGTGTGCCCTTCAAATCTAGATCGATCCCAATTAAAACCCTAATACTTTTCAAACCATTTTAGAAGACTGTGTTTCCCAATGCGGATGTTATCAAACTGCTAATCGAGTGCGGCGTTGATGTGAACATCAAAAACGAAGCCAAATCTACCCCCCTGCATGTGGCATGCCAGCCGTACAACTTCAACAATGACGTGAGCAATGTGCAATTCTGAATTTTTGAACTTTTACCTGGAATTTCGTTTTCCCCTTCCCCCACAGATTGTTAACTTGTTGCTCAAGTACGGAGCGGACATCGATCAGCCGAACCGTGCCGACAAGCGGCCTTACGACTTAATTGCCTCCAATCCCACCAGCACCATTCCGCTGCTCAACTTTGTGACCCTGCAGTGCCTGGCAGCAACGGCCATTAGTAAGCATAAGATACCCTATCAGGGTCAGTTGCACCGACAGCTGGAACAGTTTGTGCGCAATCACGAACCATAATCAGATCAGATCTGAACTGATCGAATCGGATCGGATCGTATCGTCTTTGGCAAGCAATTGTCAAGTTTTCAAGTCAAAATTTTTGTAGGTTCCAGTTCTCCGGTTCGTCCCCCTCCCCACATTATATCCTCTTCGGATTGTCCAAATTTCACCAGTGTGTCCGTAATCTTTGTCTCACTCTAAATTAAATATTTACAAATATATCTACTGTTAAATCGGCTTAATGTAGATTTAAACAAAAAAAAAACTCTAAACTCTAAAAAAAAACAAAAAAAACACCAACAAGCAACCAAGAAATACACCAACCACATAAAATGTATAAACGAAGAAGCAGTGTTTAAACGATAAAAGTGATATATATATATACATATACATACATACATATACATACATACATACTATATAGAGATTGTATCTGAATCATTAATATTTTAGAGAACTTACAAGAACTGGTTGGGTGCAATGTTGAGCGATAAACAGATAATGAAACAATACTTAACAGACAATTTCTGTGCTTCTGTTCGATTAGGTCCTAGGGGCATGGCATGCGAAAGTAAACTCTAATTAACGCCAATAAAGTTTATATATATATTATCTACATAGACATATGGCTGAGTTGAGACATACACACACATATATATATATATACAACTAGAATAACTAATTGAACACTTGTTGAGCCACTAAAATCGAAATCGATATATTGAATATTAAAATAATTCTAAGATGGCCAAACCCACTCTACGCTTGGCCCGCTCTACACCTCGTCTAGGATATTCATTTCTGATCTATCTGTTCGTTCCTGCAGCCACTATGTTTACACCATGATTTCTAGACTTATTTATTATTGTATATCTCGTGTGTGTGTTTTGTTTTGTTGGACTAACACACAATGATTAAGTATTTTTATAACAATTTCTGTAAGACTTGCGTCGGGTCGGATCGGGTCTCGATGTGGTTGAGTTTGGTTTGCACGCATATTGCAATAGTAAAATCGAATAAATATCTACTGAGTTTTCGATTAAAATGCAATTCTAATCAATAAATTGAATAGTTTACTGTCAATAAAAAAACAAATGCGGGATCTTCTTCTTTGGATTACGGCCTTTAAAGGAAAGTTACTAAACACAAGCACATGTAACTACAACCCAGAGATTCACAATTCTTATCGGTTGACATACTCGTAGAAGTTGGTAATCAATTTTGATTAAATTCAATAAAGATGCGAATTGGATTTTTCTCGGTCACATATTGGAAGAAAAAAAAATGTAATATTGGTCATTAGTCATTTATGAGAGGTACATAGAAATATGAGTAAATTTCCACCACGACTATAAAATGAAAAGTCAATATAAACACATTTCCATATACATACATGCATATATTTCTGTCCCGAAATTATTTTCTAAATATGGGCAGTTCCGCCAAAAGGTCCACCAGGCCAAAAATCATAAAAAGTCAATAAAAACCGATTTCTATATAATTTTTTCCGGATATTTTTTTCTAAATTTATTGAAAGGTAACTAATTTTCTTTATTCACATATAATTTCATTAACTTTCATCCTAAAACCTATGAAAATAAGCAAAAGTTCACGTTTTTGGTATTTTCTGGTATTTTTATAGACATGTTTTCTTTTACTATTATCTCCTAGGAAGAAGATGATTCTTGATAAAAGTTTCTCCTTAAAGTCTTTCTAATATATTAAACTACCCAAAATAATTATCAGAGTGTTTGTCCAACCTCGGCTAACAATATATTTTTAGGTTTTTATAATCGCGGAATTCGGTAACGTCACGCCAGTAACGTTCGCCAGATGCCTCCGCGGATTTTTAACAAAAAAAGAGGAAAGGTTTTTACATTTAATAAATTTGAAAATTAACTCTCAATACTTCATTTATTAGCACAAAAAATGTTATACAGATACCCCTATCCAATTCGCAGAGTTTTGCCATTTTGTACGCCAACCTCGAAAACCACTTCTGTTTTATGTAACGCACTTTTAGGTCATACTTTGGCTTATATCTTCAAAACCGTACGTTCGATTATTGCCATGTTTCTGGTGAATATAGGTCTAACCAAATTATATTCAACGAGGATAATCTTTTTTCCAAATTTCAGTTTTTTGACTATCTTTTTCAACATTTTGTCGTACGAATGTAACGTAACGCCAGATAGGAACTGCCCATATATGGAAACTTTTTGGCCCATATCTTTCAGTACGTAGTTTCGATTGTGTTAATTTTTATTCAAGTGTTTTTCAAGTCTGCATTTAACATTGTTTCATTCATTTCATAATTATTTGTTTTAGTTTAATATATCACCTTAAATACTCCGTCTTTACTTCCTTCAAAGAAAATAGAGATTTCACACCCAAACGAATGTCTTTTTGTATTTCCGCATAAATATTAATACAATTAAATGGATAACCAGATTGTTGCCTCAGATATAAAATAGATTTGATTTCTTCTAAAATAAAACACAGTTCTGCATTTATTTACGATTTAAATAATATTATTATACACAAAATGGGCACCACTTCACACCACACTCTGCAGTCCACTATTTGCCTACATACATACGTACATACATATGTACGTATTGTGACGGATTCACTTAGAATAAAACATTAAATATGCACTTTAGTGGCCTAAACTAATTGAGAGAACAACAGTCAACATTTCGCTGGATAGGCGAGCAGCACAATCAGAGGCAGCAGGACACAGGCGACGCGCGACCACGACCAGACGGTGAGACTGGACTGGCCGCTATGCCGCAGATTTGTGTAGCTGTCCACGATGTGGATCTTCCAGCCCATGTTGCCGTGCGTGAAGGAATTGTAGTAGACGGTATCGGGCCAGGTAATGTTCGGTGTGATCTCCAGTAGGGCTGGGGCCTCGTCCACGCACTCGGTCAGCAGGGATCGATTGAACTTTTTGAATGTGGCGAAGTTATCGTCCAGGCGGCGATCGTAGTTGGGTGGATAGCGCGACAGGCAGAGCGGACCCGCCGCCGTGGGCTTGGGTCGACCGCGACGGGTAAACTCTACACCGGCCAGCACTCGGATCTCGCTCTGCTTGGCATCCGACAGCCGATCAAAGCCGCCCTGCGGATCGTCCGTTATCACCAGCGGATGATAGTGCTCCGGCGAGTGCGGATTGTTGCCGCCGCGTACCTTGAACGTGTAGGTGAGGCCACGCTTCAAATAGAGCTCGGGTATCATGTAGCCGTTGATGTACCAGGCCAGACCGCTGGACACGTGACCGGTGAGCCCCTGATAGCCACGCAGACCGCCCGATGGTCCCAGATAAGCATTGAAAGTCCGCACAGTGCTGCAAGAGACACGAATCATACAAGAGAACGGAGCTTTTCATGGCAGAGCATTCGACTTACGCATCCGTGATCCTTGTGCGCTCCCACAGCTGGACAGGCGTATCCGTTCGTTTGGTGAAGGCGAAGCAATCGTTGACCGGCTCCGTGGTATTAAAATCGATCACTATATCGCTCTTGGGATAGTGTGTGTGAAAGGCGGGCTCGTTGTTCGAGTCCAACTGGCCGAAGGCCCACACCACATAGTTACTGCGATCCAAAAAGATCTCCTTGTCGCCATCATCGGCTGCAGGGAGTAGAAATCAAAAGTTATACCGGAGAGAGAGATATACAGGAGAGCGAACAGCGAACAGCCACTCACATGATTTGAGGATGCGTCTGAAACTGATGGTATTGATGCCTTCCTTTCGGCTATATGTGTTCAACTGGAAGCTGTCCAGCCCGCCCACCACATCGTCCCGACACACGCCCTTGTTCTGGCCGAGCACCTGGACGCAGGGCGCCAGCGAGGTGATGTTATAGTCCACAGTATAGCCCCTGATCTCATCGATGTAGGCCACCACAACGTCGGAGCCGATCATTTGACTGGAGACATCCGATCCGGAAATGCCAAAGGACATGTAATCATTGGCAGCCACCTGGCCGGACAGCTGGAAGGTGATCTGCGGCCCAAACACCTCCCAGGACACTTGCAGGTCCTTGTGCAGCTGCCGGCAATTGGGCAGCGAGAACTCAAATGGCGTGACCTTCACCAGAGAGGGCGGCACATTCAGCCCGTCGTTGATGAGCACATGGCCATAGTTCTCATTGTCGGCCACGTCGTAGATGCTGATCCAATCGATGTCGAAGATGGTCTTGTCGCCCGGCAACTCCAGCTCAATGGTCTCCTTGTTATACCTCCGAATGGGATCCAGACTGATCCAGACAAAGAATGAGGCGAGATGATTAAGGCAGAATAAGCAGAATACTTGTGTCGCACTCACTATCCCCTCTCGTCGGGCATTTTGCTGCCTCTGCTCGATGGCTGTGCGCCCACTCCCGTCCAGAAGAATGTCCGCTTGCCGCGGCCATCGTAGGTAAAGTCCTCAATGCGTATGGTCTTGGAGTCCAGGATCTCGATGCTGCTGCTGCTGACATTGTGGCTGCGCTTCGAGAAGGTGCCGCCCAGCTGGGGCATCGGCGGCTCAAAATCCTCCGGTATAAAGACATCGCCAAAGTTGTTCTGGTTGTTCAGGTCATAGACGGCCAGCCATTTGATTTCCGTAATCTTCTTGCGATCGGGCAGACTGAGGGTAAAGTCCTTGTTGTGATAGCGGTCCAGGATGTTGGTTCTAAGGAGAGTCGAGAGAGCATGCTATGGCAGTGGGAAATGCAGAGGGATAGAGAATCAATTCCACTTACTTGCCGTACTCATCGGGCACTATGAAGCCCTGTGGCCCCGGCCGATTGCTGGCCCCCGACCAGAAGAACGTGTCCGCTCCGTTGCCATCGTAATTGAAGTTCACTATGAGGAAGGTGTACTCGTTTACGGCGTACACATCGCCGGACACCTGATGGTGATACGAGTTGAGTTTTCCCAAGTATTTTCCACGGTACGGGCCATCTTCTTCTTCGTCCTCGCCCTGGGCACCTGTGGATTTAAATGAGAATGTTAGCTAAAAGCCAATGGGCCCATTGGTCTCAACGAAAGACTTTGGTCACAAACTAGTTTCTGGGTCTGACTAATGGACCAGCAATTTGGCTTTTGATTTACTGCCACTGGGGCGGCGTGACAGCGCCCTCTCTCGGCCAGAGGCAGACCCAGACAGACGGTAGACCAGTTTCTCTAGTTTTACACGAAAGTGAATTTGTTTTGCCCAGTCTTGAGCGTAACGCTTGTTTGAAATTTCTCTTTCTTTTTGCATTTTTAGCGTGTTGCAATTAATCGTACCGCACCCCCGCCCCCACTTACGGGCACTGTGCGGCCAAGTAGCAGCAAAGAAAAGCAGGAAAAGCGTCACAAAAGCTAGCTGTTGCTTTTGCAGTCGGCGTCGCAGTCGCTGTGTGCTGCTGGTGCAGCAGCGATGACAAAGAACGCCACCGTCGCTGCCGCTGTCGCCTTGGTTTCTCAATGTCATTTTGCTGCGGACTGGACCTCTCGCTCTCTCTCCCACTCGTACTCCCACTTCCTGCGCCACGTACTGCTGTCACTGTCTCGCTTTTACCAATATCTTCTCTGTGCTTTCACTCGTTCACTCTCTACCGACTCCTGGCATAGGCAGCAGCAGCAACATTTTGCATTCTATGCATTTATCCAAGATTTGGCAAAAGTTTCAATCAATTTCTTTGAAGCCAAGTTATTTGAATTCGTTCCTGGGTTTATCTTAAGGTCGTTTCGTCACTTGCATGCGTTTTCGCTGCTATGCTATTGTTTTTTGTGTTCGAATGGCCAAAACCGGTTTAAGTCGCAGATCCGGCGTTTGTTATTTCACTTCACTCTTTTTTTTCTGTTGTTTAAATAAACCTAACCACGTCGTGTCTCATAGTGGACTGAGCCGACGGCCGAAGTTTCGTTTCTTTCGAAGTTGAAGCTTTCATACATTAAGATAGCTTTTTCGATCGCTGTGCTGTGGCACATGCGTGCCTTGAATTGCAAATAAATGGCCTAGGCTGTTCATAACTGTACTCTGGCGGTCTGTTGTAGGTCCATATCTAGTTCTGATCGTTCGAGTGCCCTTATATTTTATCCCAAGAAAAAAACATACACACTTGTGGATTATTTTTGTCAATTTTCTTGCTTGCAAAACTAAATTTTATTCTTACGTTTGTTTTGTATCTGATTCTGATCTTTATTTTGAATAGCAATTCAATTAATGTTTTGAAAACTAATCAATTGCATTTTATATTTTCTCTGCCGGTTTGCCATTTATTTGGTTGGACAGTCTAGACCAGACTGCTTTTGGATTTTATTTCATTTTATGAATGATTTTTTTGTTTGTTATTTTTTAAGTTTATCTTTTTCCTCTTTTATTGCGATTTTATTTACAAAAAGGCATTTATTGAAAGAATGTGCGTTGCATGAAAGAGAGAAAAACCAAATTGTATAAAATTAGCAAACAAACAAAAAAAAAATGACGACGAAAAAATAATGTGTGTATACTCGTTACAATTTTCCACTTAAGTTTTCAACCAATATTCTCACTGACTACAGTACACTTCACAAACAAGTTGGTTTGTGTTTCACTTTTCATCTGATTTCGTATAAGTATATATATATATCCTAACCGCTCTTTGCTCTCTCCTTTCCGTCTGGCATTTCTATCTCATTCTCTTTGTCTTTGCTTTGTCCGTATAACTAGTTCATTGAAAATACAATATTACTTTTAAATATATATATATATGTATACGTAGTTATTCTCATAAGAAGCACAATTTATGGTTGTTGTTTTTTTAAGTTTTTATTTCATCATTTTATGCTTTTACATTTTCAATATTTTTGAACTTGCGCCGCCATTTAGAAAATTCTCGTTTAACATTTTTAGAGCATACTTTCTTCGATTTTTGTTGTTGTTGTTGTTGTAACCTTTACTTTCATTTATTGTTTGTTTATTTAGTTGTTAACACTAGACACTAGATAACCTATAAAAAGTGGTTCACTTTATTTTCATTTTGTGATTAATAAAATAAACTTTACAAAACAATAAACAGGCTGGAAAAAATCTCGGAAAGAATGGTATATGGGGGATATATATGTGGGGACAATGGGATGGTAGGCAGGCGCAGACAGGCAGGCTACATGTGAGAATCGGTCTTGGACGCACGCACGCATAGTCGAACTAAAAGTAGCAATACTTAGCTTAAAATGTAGCGTATAAAAATAGTTTTTCTTTTTCTTTTGTTTTTTTTATGATCTTGCTTTCTCTTTTTAGATAGGTTTTTGTTTTGTTTTTAAATTAAACGAATTGGGAGCACTAAATTTAGGATTAAGCTTAGACTGACGTTTTGCTTTATAAATGTGTGTGTGTTGTATCGTTTATATCAATGCATTTACTTCTTTCGCACTGCCTCTATTCTTCTGGGATTCTTCTTAGTGAATAAAAAAGTGTGTGTTAATAATGAGCATTTTGAATTGTTTGCTGTGCTTCTACGCATGAGCGAGCAGCAGTCAACACGAGTGAGAGACAAACTCCAGAGCTATCCTGACGAGATACAAAACTTAGACATCATCTCTCTGATATTGTAGCATGGAATGAACTTGGTCGAAAGCGCATAAACAATCAGATATATATATGTGTGTGTGTGTGTAGTATTTGTATATGTGTGTGTGTGTATAGAAAAGAGCTAACAGAGTTGGTTCCTTGACTTGATTTCTTTTTTTTTTTTGTTTTTGTTTCTCCCTTAAACTTAACAAGCAAACAGAAAAAATATTACAGTATGCATTGCATTTCATCATCATCATCATAATCATTATACTTGTTTTTTTTTTGTGTCTGTTTTTGTTGTATATTATTATTAATAATTTTTATTACAAATACTTGGGCGCTGGCTTCTAATTATACATAATTTTCGGGAAAATCATCTGTTCTGTTATCTTTTATCAGTAATCATGAAACGGCATTGGGACCTCTTGTTGTTGCCTTTTGAATTGCGCTACAAGAAATCAACTTTACGCTATTTATTTATAAATGTTATGTATAAAAAATTTGTTTCCGTTTCCTTTCTTCTTCCTTCTCTCGCTCTCTCTCACTTCATCATTTCTCTTAAGTTTCTTCTTGTTCCACATTACTCGCGGGGCGCCTGAACAATGCGCAAACATTTTACAAATCATTTGCTATGGCATTATTTTTGTTGTTTTTAAGTTTTTTTTGGACACAGGTATGGATGGAGGATGGGGGGGGGGTGGCCTGAGAGAGGTGTAATTTAACAAACAACAAATCATTTGAATTGAAAGGGGAAAACAATCGAATTAACATTAGAATTAAAATGAGGCGACTGCTGCCAGGGCAATGGATCCTGCTGTGGCTGCTGTGGCTGAGGCTCAGGCGTGTTTGTTTTTGTTGTTGTTGTTGTTGCTGTTGTTGTGGGTGTGTGATTCTGGTGTAAACTGGTTTATAGAGTGTTGGCTAAAATTTATCCTGAAATATGAATAGATTGTTGGTGGCGGCCACAGCAATGATATTCTCTTCGGGATGCCAGGCGGTGTGCAGAATTTTCTTGTTAAAGTCGAGACAGTCCACGCTGATCTCGTCCTTCTTCCGTTTGCCGCCAGTGCAAACTTTACGCGGCTTGAGCACCGTCTTGGGCTTAATAATGTCCCTGGACGCCTCCAGCGTGACATCCTTTTTCGAGTTGCGATCAAAGACACGGAAAAAGTTATTATAGCTGCCAGTCATGATCGAGCTATCCTTGCCGTTCCAACAGCACTCGAACTTATCGAAAATGCAATCGTTCTCATACAGCGAGCACAGTTTAGCGCGCAGGTATTCGTGAACCTAAACAAAAACAAAGAAACCGTTCGCAATAGTTAGAAGAAAATTAAAGCGAAAATTCAATGCACACCACACTCACCGGATAGGTCTCAATCGGCTTCGTTTCCATATGCAAATCCCACACCTTGATGCTCAGATAATCCCTGGAGATCATATAGCGACCAGAATTGCTCAGCTTAACATCGCTGATGGAGCTGATTATCTCGCTGAAGAAGCTACGATTCGTTGGATTCTCGGGCTCCTCGAACTGTTTGCTGTGCCGGTCGCATAACGCCGCCGAACGCATATCACATAAACGTATTGTGCCCTTGGAGCTCGAATAGACGAACACATTGCACTCGGTCGGATGGAATTCAGCTGCCGTTATCACCTCCGTGAGCTCCTCCATGTTGGTTGGCTTGATGTCGACAATGTTGTAGCTCTGATTGACCACCTCCAAATGCCAGAGATTGATGCGCAAATCGTCGGCGGACAGGAAAGTCTCTTGATCGGAATTAACGCTAATTGAATTTATGTGATAGGTGTGTGCATTGGCGAAGGTGCGTCGCGGCGATGCCTCCACCATTAGCGGTATCTGCTTCACAGAAGGAACTCGTAAGGCGGTTACATTTTGGGGATCCCTGATCAGACCGTTCTCCTCTTTCGTGTTGTAGCCCTCAAAGGACTTGTCGCGCTCGCTAACCTTCCACAACTTGACCGTCTTGTCGTTGGTGGAGAGCAGAAAGTGCACGGGATTCTTCTGTTGCAGCCATCGGATTTTGTTGATCTTCTCCTCGATCTCCAGCGACTTGAGGTAATCGAATTCGGGCTCGTGCGATTGGAATGTCGAATAGACATTGTATTCACCGCGTCGCGGATTGGCGGCTTTCGAGGCAGGATCACGCTGCAAATGCAAATTAAATATATAGTATCAATATTTTTATATCCTTTCCATTGAATCGTATCTTGGGTGCACTTACCTGAAAGATGACGACGCGACCGCCCTTGTCGCCGGTGGCCAGCAGCTCGCCATCGTGATTGAATTCTACGCAGGATATGATATCCGCATCTGTGACATCATCGTCCAAGGCGCCCTTAATCTGTGAGAAGCACCAGGACGCCTCTCCATTACCTGCAAAGAGAGAGCACAACCAAATGATGATTATAGTAGGTGACACCTTCGGTCTGTTTGAGTTTCGTTTGCGGAATGCAATTTGCCCCAAAAGCCCTGCGCCCTGCACTGCACTGTCCCAAATTTTTGGACTTGTTACATTTGGTTTTTTCTTCTCATCGTCTGTCGCACATACACTCGCACAATCAATAGCTGGTAGAGCTCTGGGAAGGACGACACCGATGACGGCGGCAGAGTTGTCCTGCCTTGCTCAAATATTTGCTAATGACGCCATTCCTGGCCTTCCACAACCCATCCATCCACCACCACCACCATTTTGATTCCACTTTGATTCTCGTCGTCGTCTGCTCCGATGATGGAACAGCCCACTTTAAAGGCTCTTTAAGCTCTTGGCCAAATATTCTTTCCGTTTCGGTTTCGGTTTCCCTTGCTTCTTCCTCCTGTCTCTCTGTTTGCCAATTCCGGCCTGCCAGCTCTACTTTTCGCGATTGCGGTACGTTGTGTAAACGATGACGTTTGGACCCCGTCGTCCTCGTCCCCATCGCTGGGTCTATCTCTCCCACTCCCCCCGCCCACGCTCTGTCATATGGAACACATGAGAACATTAATTTTGAAAAAGCTTTTCTCTGTTTATACCCTTTCAGAGGGTGGTACAGTTTCGAGCAGATCTTAAATAATATTGATCCTAGTCCTGTGGGATTTCAATCTTTAGAGATAGAGATATGTTTAATAAATCTACAAATAATAGAAGACTACGACTAAAGAAGACTGAAGGGGCATTTAGGAACCATTGAACTCTGTATATTGTATACCCTGGTAATGAATGGGTATTAAATTCCAGTGGAGTATCTACATTACTCTTAGATGTTTATGAATTATGTAGACAAATCAATTGAAATTTTGTAGTTCCATTAATCTTCATCAAATATGAATTCTTAGTCGTTCATTTTTGATTTATTATATTTAAATTCCTCTGCATTGACATAAACAGGGTGCCCACTGTACGTGTTTTACTTCCTGTGTCTTTTTGTCTATGGTTTCCTCCATCTCTCTTTTTGTTGGCATCTGAATTTTGCCAATTTTTTCATCATTTCTAAATATTCATTTTTTGGCTTTTGTTTGTTTGATTTTTGCGGCACTACTGCCACAGGCACAACGCCCTTGCCCGGCCCAGTCCCATGTGCTGTGACCTCATTATTGGGTTGGCTGTTGTCTGTTACCCGTTGGTTGTCTGCCGTTGCTGCTGTTGTTTGTCGTTGCCTTCTTGGCTGCCTTTGGCTGCCATTGACGACGTCATGAGATGTGATTGACGAGGCGCAGCAATTGCGTGTGTGTGTTTCTCTCTGTCTGTATGTCTATCGTCTGTGTTTCCTTCTACTGTGGTTATTCTGTGGCTGCTTTACCCTCCCATAATAGGATCAAAGGCAGTCGAGTCGGTTAAAAAGGTGGCGTATAATCTATTTTTAGATATTTCAAGAATACCAGAGACCTAGAGACGACCCACCACCACCCACCGCCCACAGTTTTCCAGTCATTCAACTCTACGGCTGTACTGCAGAAAAGCGAAAGTGCAGAAAACTATTTAGCAATGAAAGAAAGATATGCAAGCAATTTATATGATTTATAATCCGATTACTAATCACCGCATATATATATTTTGAAACTCGATACGATCATTGATCTTTACCCCATTCTGATAGAAAGAGCTGTATTTTAGTTGTCATAAATCCCTACCCTTAATCCCCCATTCATTTTCAGACTTCCATCAACCCAAAACGATTCTGTTTTGGTGCTGCAGTGATATAATTGCTCCCCAAACGCGGTCGCATTGTTTTTCCCATGGCACACGAATAACAGAAAAAAAAAAATCTTGGATAATTGCTAAAAAAAAAAATATAAATAAAAAATAGCAAAAAAAAAAAAATCCGAAATAGCTCTCGCTCACAGTCACTTGTCTGTTTATTTGTTAGATGCTTAGTACATATAGATACAGATTCTATGTGTGTGCATATGCGAGTATAAAACGTATTGTACATACGTACGTACATAAAGAGATAAGTAGATTTTCATGAGCGGGCACAAAATGGAGCAAATGAAAATCAAATATTGACACAATTATTTAACACAATCACGCGATGTCGCGGCTAAAGCTCTTTTCCGCTGTTTCTCTCCCAATATCCAGGGCTCAGAGACACCCGTGCTAGAAAGCAGACGAACAAGCCGACCTAGAGAATGGCATTACCACACAAAGCGTCTTACAAAACCAGAGGGTAGAGAAGTGAAATACGTAACCATGAAAGGATGGAAGGATGGTTCTACATGAGAGAGAATCCCTTTTTGGCAGCCAAACATTTAACAAGAAACATCAGAGGAATGGCTCCTTATACATGACTGAATCAGTAAGCAATTTTCAATATTGCTCCGAAAGGATTAATTAGGACAAAGGAAAATCGAAGGAGACAAGAAAAGCTGCTTTTAGATTAATACATATGCGAGTATTGAAATTCAAGCAGTACAAGACAGCAGCTGCCTTGGAAAGAGCAACTCAGTAATGGAAAAATTATGAAATTTAAATGAAAAAAATTACTCGAATTTTCACTGCACACCTTTTGAGAGCCATGTGAGCACAACAAAAAATAGTAAAAACACTTGGCATCGAAATTCTAGTCGAACACACAATGTATGTGGTTTTCAGAATTCCCTGGCACTCACTTTAGCAACATTTCTAGCTAGAAGCTCCTTCTTCAGTTATGTATGTTTTAACTTCGATACACTCCCTTAAGAGTATTTTTTCTTTTTTCTGAAAACCAAACCTTGGCGGACAGCAAACTAAACGGACATCTCACCTACATTCTTTAAACATTCAATAATTCCGCCAATCATCTTTCTTAGTGAATCGAATGGGCTAAAACTAAGCAACATACAACATAAAGCCGTTAAATATAATGTTGAGCGCATAATGCGACCTTTTTAGAGGAAATACAAATTTCCTGGTTGTCTACCCTTCCCCATGCCCCTCCCTAGACCAGTCAATTACCATATCCAATCTAATCTAAGATACACATCAATCTGTCACCGTTCCGTTCCGTCCCCTCTTCTCTTATCTTGCGCTGTCCGTCTCGTCTCTCTGCCATGCCTCACATGGCCGCCTAACATGAATCAAACATCGGACACTTGTGTAGTGTAATGTCCTCCCTTAGTGACAATGTTTTACAAAAGTATTTACATGAGCTCCCAGTCAGAGGCGTCGCTGGCTACTTGTGCGTATCTTGCAGATACATTATTTAGACAAAACGAGCGTCTCACATCAAAAAGGAAACAACAAAAACACAGATACGGCAGCATATGAAATTGGCAAATAATTTTGCATACATCACATGCACCGCATCCACATCCCATCCACCTCCAGATACAGATACAAACGGAGAGCTCTGCGACGTCACGTCTGGGCAAAAATTTAGACAGAACATGGCAGAGGGGAATACAGGGTTGGGGGAGGTAGGTTGCTGGCTTTGGTCCATTGCGGCAAACGGCAACGACATCGTTGACTTAAGCTCAATTTACACAAGGCAAAACACGATCCAGATCCGAGCACTCAACATCTATTGACCCACCTCATTTGTACGCCGCATTCTCGATGCTTGTGCAATTGTTTATTATTTAATTATAGTAGTTGTGTGTCCGTGCCTCAGGGGAGCGTGTCCCACACATCTCGTTTATATATATTTCTCTGTGAACCGAACTAAAAAGTCAGCCGCCTGTCCGCCAGAAGTATTTCTCGGACTTTAATCAATGAAGTCGAAGTTTTAATACTCTTGCATTTCGAAAACGATTCCTTTTACCCTCTGTATTAGCCCGATCGCTTACTGGTCATAAGATTTAGAAGAAAGCAACACAGATAGATAACATCACAAATACAGACTTATTGCGATTGTCGGGCGGGGGCGGGTCCGAAACCGGGAAGGGGCTGTGCAGGGCAGGGCAGGCCTGTGAAGTGTGTTATATTCAGCTCACATCGCTAGCGGCATTTCGCTCAAGTGCAAAAGATCAATGCTAGTCGATAGTGAAAAGTTGTTTTTAGCTCGACGGAACGCATTTGACTAGTTTGTTTACTTCACGGGGAATGGGAAGGCGAATTTGTTTATGTGCTGTTGCAAATTTAATGCCAAAATCAAAATGAAACGCGAGAACACACCGACGCACACAGAATTCACTTACCGGCCATGACAGTTGAACAGTTTGCGTCGATAAAGCAGCGGAGGCGGCGGCACAAGCAGCAGAAGCAACAACAACAACCACACACTAACAGAAAGAAGGCCAAGGAGCCGCGCTCGCGCTGTATGTGCCTGTATGTGTGTTGTTGTTGCTGTCGTTGTAGCCGTTGTGTTGTTGTGTTTGTGGAGGAGTTAAGCGCGGTTTCTTTTCGATGTCGCCACAGGAGTTTTCTAACACTGCATGTACAACAAACAAAAAAAAACGGCGACGAACAAATGAAAAGAAGACGTTAAGCGCTCGTTGACTTTGCTTCCTTCGCGCAGTTTCCTTTTGTTTCTTGCTTCTCCGTTGGGGTTATTCTTTGATTATACTTTGGTTTATATCTATGCATACATTTGTGGTTGCTTTTAACACACAACTTAAGCACGTAGAGACGACGACATGTGGGGAAGAAACTGCAAAGTAGGGGAAATTTTTTTTTTGTATGACGACGAAGCAGCATAAGCAGCGGCAGCAATATAACGTGCGTTTTTTGCGCGTGTGTGTGTGTGTGCGAGCGAGAGAGTCCGAGTGCAGCCGGTGGTTGTGAGATGAGCACAGCACAAAAATTACTTCACACTGCCGCCTCTTCTCGTTCTCTCCTCCTGTGGCGTTGTAAGCGCGACAATTATACACGGAATAATTGCTAAATAATTAAGATTAGTTATTATTTATTGCACTTGCCAAAACAAACACACACACACAAGCACATATATACATATATATCCGCAGTAGGCAGCACAGCACAGACATTCGCGTTTTTGCGTCGCTCGCTTTGTGCCTTTGTTTTATCGCGTTTTCTTCGCCCGACCGAACAAATATATATAAAATCTAACCTTCAAAGCGTGCATAGGTACATTGTATACGTCTATATATATGTATTTATATTCTGATTCCTGGTCTGAGCGCACTTTCTCACAGTGCCTGCAGTGGCTTATGCATTTTGCTGGCTTTCTGGTCCAAAAACCGCGTGCCACTTTGTTTAGAGGACGCGGCGACACACACAATCAATATTCGATTCGATTCTGATGCATTTCACTTTATTTATGTTGGCAAACACGCAGCAAATCGGCACAATGACACACTATCACACCGTCCGGCGCCCGGGAGCGTCTGGGCGAACAATTAAATCAAAATCAAAAATGGCAAAGCTTTGTGGGCCTGAAGCGAGCGAGATTCTGTGCTGCGGCTGCTGGGTACGCCTGCTTCTTCTTCCGCTTTTTGCCGCCTCTTTTGCTGCACTGCTTCGTCGTTGCGTCGTAATGAGTGGATTTTTTTGCAAAGCGGCTTCTATTTACGTTTACGCACTTTTAGACTATGTACACGGCTGTAATAATGCAATTGGATTGCCGATTCAAAACTGGAGCACTGTTTATAACCTTAGCTTAACATATGACTAATAGATTACGATAAATTCAACGCAAAAATGGAAGTAAAAAATTTTGTTGCAAATTTCGCACTGTTCCCTAGGGATGGGATGTTGAATATATATTGATATCAATATATCGATATATATTTGTGGTGATGATATATTCACAGACGAAGATATTGTTGTGGGATATATCGACAGAATACCTTTCTGAATTTGGGGACTTTTTATTTTTGGGTTTGAATTCTGATTTAACAGATTTTTCGGGTATAACAGCGACATTTGATTGTAATTAAATGTTTTGACGATAGTTTAGGAATATCGATATTTGTGTGCGATTTTCGGAAGTTGTATATGGCGGCTGCTTATCGTCGTTTGAAATAGCCGAGAGCATGATGCAATTTTATGAAATTTAAACTCGAATGCTTACTTGGCGGCTTCTTGGCTCCATTTATGTTGATGGCCGTGTTCAGCATATTCCCAATCTTTGTGATGCTCGACTGCCTCATAAACGTCCGCGGCGGGATGGCGGGCGGAGGCTGTGCCTGAGGCTGTGGATCCGGCGGCTCCAGCACCGGACTCTGCCGGCCCCATCGACCCATTTTCGTATGCCCCCGGGAGGTGAGGTGGTTATGTGCTGTAAATAAATTGAATGATCGAATCTATTAACATGTTTCTCGCTGCTCAGCTGCATACACAGATTGTATAATGCATATTTGCTCAAGACTCTTGCGTCGAGGCAGCGGCGGCGGCACATGAGCGGGCTGCGTGTTTTTGAATTTGTTAGCCAATTAGCACCTGTCCAGCACAACTCATCTCCAGATCCCCAACTCGCTTGGCGATTAGGTAGGTCTCTCTTGAGGACGTTTCAAACAAATGAATTGCGCAAATTGTTTACCTTAGAAATTATGGATAAGTTCTGCGTGCGAAAGAGAACAAAACATCTGTTTTCGGGCTGAATTAAATTTCGCCGCCTGCGTGCTTCATAAATTAAAGTTTTGCCCAAAAGGCGAACGTAGAGGTGTGTCTTGTCTGCAGCAGCGCTCTGTTTTCAGCAACTTTATCTATATAAGCCACATTTTATGGCTGTCTATTCAATTTATTCCCCCCACCACACAATATATTGGGCCTAGACTTGGAATGATAGAAGAATAAATAAAGAGTCGGCATTCCAATTAACAATTACACAAAAAAGCAATCCCATTTCGCTAATCTCCAGCTCAAATATTTAAATGGCGCGCGCAGAGTTTAACGGTGAACGTCAGAGTGGAAACTTTTGCAGTGCGAAAAACAAAAACCAAAAAAAAAACATTGTAAAAGACAAAAACAAAATGGCAAAAATCTGCACTCGCATAAATCTGTAAAATGTAATTTGGCATACATATACATACGTATAGGTATACAAATATGTGAAGTGTATGAGCTTTTATTTCACACATTCTCATATTTACATACCATACGGATATACGGTTACAATATGAAGACGAAATTCCACCACGTCGCGCTGTGGCCGTCATTAAAGGAGAGAGGAGAGATATGCAAAGTTAAGTACTTCCTAAACAAGATAAGCGCTGATTCGCAGCAGGTGTTAACAGAGAAGAAGGGCAATCGTAATCCCTTTTCTTTTTTGTATCATTTTAAAGATAAGAATTACGACAGTAAAGCTAGAGAAACCGAAAAAAAGCATTTCAACTTTTCATATATATTACATCCAAGTACACTTGATACGTACGGATCTCGATGCTTCTCAAAGCACCTGCCCTGCTGTCTCGTTTAGCCAGTGCTTAACGCGTACGCAACAAGTATATGTGCATACATATGTACATGTATGACTAATGGCAAAGAAGAAGAAGCAGTAGAGAGAGAGCAACGCAACGTGCAAAATAACAGCAACAACAGCGACAAAGGGAAAATGCAGAGAATTGTAATCCAATTAATGGGCCGCGTCTTCAATGTCTCCATGTCTCCTCTTCGCAGAAACGTGAGCGCCACGCCAGCAACAACAGGGGGTGGGGGCGTATAATGCATTAAGATCTTGGGGAAATTGGGAAATACAAGAAAAGAAAGAAACTACCAGAAGAGCACACTCGACGCGCCGTTAGCGAGGTCCGTTAATATGTGCGGCATGGCATGTAAATAAACGAACAAATGTTTTCCACAGAAATTACAGAAACAACTACATACACTACACACACATTTTTTGGGAATATAATGCTGTCAAGATTTGTTTTTGATTTTGTGTAGTTTTTTTTCTTTAGCCATGTGGGAAGCGGAAGCGGGAAAAGGAATCCGAAATAAACTCAAGAAAAACTGAATGTTTTGCATTGATAGGCAGGCGGCACACATCGAAGGTGAGGTAAATTCTCTTCAGCAGAATATAAATAGAAGTCTTACAGTTGGAGAGCCACACTAGCACGTGCGACACGAGACCTATCCCCTCCCCAACCACAGCGTTCTCATCTGCTGCCCAGCCAGGTGTAGGTATATGACGTTGTGGCTGCCAAATATTTGATTATTTTTGGACATGTCAACCCTTCTCGTCTGTTTGCCTAATTTGCTTTTGATGCGGCAGAGTAGGAGGAGGGATGGGATACGGTTCTATAGCTAGCACAGAACTGATTTATATTTAGCTCTTCAAACTGGCTGGCGCTTGCCAAACTGTCCGAAAATATGTCCATCAAAGCGTTGACAGTTTGGCAGCGATTGGCGGCACGCAGGACAGATGAATTTGTTATTTACGGAGGAGGATGGGAATGGGGGGAGGGTAGAGTGAGTGAGTAACATATAAACAAAACACTCTGATGGAAGCGTGATTACTACCATATGTACATATGTATGTGTGTCTCCACCGCCCCCCTAGCAATCCCAAGCAGATCGATGGGGACCCAATATTGTGCTTATCAAACTGTCAATTAATACACTTCGTCCCGTTTCCGACCAACCGACCACCCCATGAGATATGATGAAACTAATTAGCATACGGACAAACGCCAATCCATCATACACTCATATTATTATTATTATTAGAGAACAGGACGGAACAGGACAGGACAGGCTCTGGCCAGAACAAATTACCCGCCACTTATAGAGGGTAGATTCGATGGGGCGGGGGGGAGAACTGGAAGCGAGAGATTGCGCGTGCTTTAGCAATTTGTATTATTTGCTAATGCCAACAGCTTGGGCAAATATTTTGGCATAAAAGTCACCGAGTGACAAAATAGTAGCTATTAATTGTTTTTAAGCCGTATCGGCCTCTCTACATGGCCAAGACAACTCAATAGTTGTTGCTTTTGTTGGAGTTCGGCTCGGTTCGGTTCGGGTTCGAAACAAAGCCGCCTCAAAATGCTGTTAACCTCAAAAACCGCCAAGAACGTCAACAGCTGAAACTTGGTGCTCTGTCGTGGTTAGACGTTACGGCACGGGGGAGCGTATAATATACGTTCTAAGTGTATATGTATAAGAGTTCAATCGGATCAGGTGTTGCTTGTAATACTACAGAAAAGCAGTCACAGGAGATGCTACCCTCTTCCACAGGTTGACGTAACAATTTAACTTTCAATGATAAAAGCAAACAATCTTAGGGTATTGAAACAGCTGTCTTGCCATATATCCAAGCACGCACGCATATTAATACACCTGCAGAAAACCGAAAACTTACCTCAGCAGCAGCAGAAGCAACAGCCACGGTTATGGAATGAGCCCAAAAACAAAAAGCAGCAACGGGAACAGCAACAATGTCTAATACATTAATAGCACCGTCTTTCGATATGTCATAATTTGTTTATGCATCGAGCTATTTTCATACAGTTTCAACTGATTTATATCGCACTGTCACTATTTATAAAAATCAAAGTGTAATTTCTTATTGTGCTCCCCGCGTTTCTCTCTGTCTCTGTCACGCACTCCCTTTCTCAGTCGGCAAGTGTCAGAATTGTAACGGTTCAATCTGCACTGACACTTCACTTTACTTTTCTTTGATGTTGTGTTTTGTCTGGTCTGTGTCGTCGTCTCACTGGCAGCAGCAGGCACTGTAAACTAATTTAAACTTAATTCAACGTTTCACGCCACACAAATGAAATAAGGAAACCGCAATAAGACGAAACAGTCAACGGCGACGTTAAAAACGCGAATGCGCAGCCTATGATTTCTACAACTCAGGCGCGCTGCTCCCAATGCTCTCCCCACCTGCTCGCTGTCTCTCTCTCACTGTGGCGCTCGCTCTCTTTTGGGGAAGATTTTTGTAAACAAAACCACAACACACATTGTTGTTGTTGTTGCATTGTTGTTTTTGTCGTCGTCTTCTTCTGATAAACGCTAATTTGCCTATTGATATTGCCGTTTCTGTGCCTCTGCACCTGTATGTGAGTGTGTGAGGAAGTGAGAGAGGTGCTATACCCACTACACTAATCGCGAAGTACACGGGGCATGCTAGATTTGTGTTAATGGATGTTTATGTGTGTATATTTTATCAGCCAAACAGCCAAAACAAAAAGATGATTGCTGCCACGCCCCTATTCAAGATAACCGAATATCAAATGATGTTTCCAGAGGTATTTCGACTTAATTATCTGCTTAGCAAGTATCTTCTAGTCGAAATGATGACTACTGCGGTCTTTGTTTATTCTAGCGGCTTATCCGAGCTGAGCTGTCGGAAGAGGTTCGGTTCCATTTACAACGGTTTCCTTTTCATATAAATTTTTGCAGAGTGGCCGAAAACACCAACATTTTTTAAATAAAACGCCAGTGTGTTCCGCTTATCGCACTAAAATACCGATATAGTTTTTGCAACTAGCCCTGTGCATCGATAAGTAAAATCATAAATACCGACTTATCCGAT